AAAGGGAACGGCTTTGCTGACAGTATGAGCGCTTAAATTTCAAAAGGAACGGCAGAAAATAGCGCTTATAAGTGTGAGCGCTTACAGCGCATGAGCGTCCAAAAGGAACGCACCCATTGTAAGCAGCATAAGTTTGAGTATAAAATTTTTTTCAGATCTTGGTTAGAAGCTGCGAATAATGAGAAAAAGACAAGATCAAGTCCTTGTTGCTTCATACAACCTTATGAGCTTTACAAAGAACGCAATTTTTTCTGTCATATCAAGAATATAAGAATTAAACCATCAGCAGGTTTAATTTTTGTTCCTTATATCCTCAGAGACTACATTGAAAGAGGTATATATTTTATGTTTTTTTTACATTCTCTATGCTATAAATAAGTATTAGATGAATAAGAACTCCTATTAATAGCAGCAAGTATGTAAATTTTTTATTCTAATTCATGACAAATTATTCTTTTAATATTTTAATACTAGTTCTTTTATTCATTTTTCCATCAAACTATAAGTCACAGAATAATGTAAGATTATTAAAATCATTCTTCTTTCTTTTTAAGAACATATAGAAAATTTGCTACCTAAACACTGTAAAACTATAATACTGTACAGTGATGGTATTATTATGGATGAAGAACATTGTGAATCTCTAAACATGGTATGTGCGTTTTTGCCACAAATCCCGAATGTGAGAGTAAAATCGTTCCAACTGCCAGAAAATTGCACAATATCGGAAACAATCGAATATCAGGAAATAATTAGCACGATTGTTAATAATGAAACATCTACCTTGAATCGCGAGACATGTTTGATGTTATTTAGTAATCAGAAGGGTCATAAAACGGCACAACGGTGGGCCTCAGTCATACAAGAAAGGTACGATATATATATTTAAAATATACTTATTTAAATATATATTTAATCTAACAATAAGCAATATACATATCCAAGTTTATTATTTAAGTACGTCCAACTGTTGTACTACAATTACTAATGTTTGATAACACTTATTTATTTCTTTTTTGCATACACTCAGCAAAGAAAATGAAATAGTTTCCGTATGGGGTGGTATAATGGAAGACGTTCACGCATGTGACTTGTGCAAAGAACAAAAAAAATTCGAATCTCCTAAGACATCAGATTGTGTCGCCATTCTAATTACTGGCCCTATACAGACATGGTCCATGGTTTTGAATTTGGAAACTAATACAGAAGACGGAATCGAAGCAGAATTAATATTATTTAAGGACAAAGTGAAGTTAAAACAACATTCCATAGGATTTATCTTCATAAGCAGATTACGTACATTACTTCTGGATTTTGACGAAGAAGAAATATTCAAAAGATTATTCCCCACAGTACCATTAGTAAAATGCTCTAGTTATGCCGAGTACGGAAAAACTACTGCTGAGGTGAACAATAAAAGTGAGTAATCCTTTTCTCTCTTTTCCTCTTATTGTTAGTAAAATTATAATCTCTCGATCAATTTTCTTTTCGTTTTAGGAAACAGTAAAGAGAAACGAAATTGTAAAAATCCTTGGTATAATGAACATTCTATTGTGATTTTGATACTTACATATAGTTTTTAAAAAGAGACGGAAACTGATACATATAACTGATACGTATTTTATTACTCGTACATTACTAGATTTAGGTCTCGTATTTAATAATTTTTTTTATTGTTAACAAAACATGAAAGCATAATCGTTCGACATTCACAGAACAATGACATACAGTACAACGAATGTTGTACCAATAAAATTCGGGTGCAGAGACTTGTACTTTATTTTAAATGTAATATCTACAAATGCGTGTTTTGTAGTTTTAAAATTATGTTACTGATAAATATAAGGAAAAACAAGTTTTAATTTATGACATTATATTATATGTTTGTACTATATACATTTTGCATTTTTTTATTCTTTCGTGTACATTACTAGATTTAGGTCTCGTATTTAACAATTTTTGTTGTTGTTAACAAAACATGAAAGCACAATCGTTCGACATTCATAGAACAAAGACATACAGTACAACGAATGTCATATCAATAATTTCCGGATGCAGAGATTTGT